TCCATGGCAGAGGCTTCAGGGGTCAGCTGTGAGACCTCCGCTGAGGGGTCACCTCCTCTCCCTATCCTGCGGGCTGCGGCGAGAGCCGGCCTCGGCGGGGCTCCTGTGGCCCTGGCTGGCAGAGGTGCATGTGGCTGGCGATCGAGTCTGCGCGGGGACCCTCGTGGCCCCCGGCTGGGTCCTGGCAGCCACTCACTGTGTCCTCAGGTGGGTCTCACCCATCTCCTGGGCGATGGGAAAATTGGGCGACGGGCCGAGGATTCTTGCAGTTGTGGGATATTCCCCCTTTAGGGCTCTTAGAGCACAGGGCAGCTTCTGTGAAGGGTTTTGAGACAGGAGAGAGATTTAGAAGGAGCAATAATCAAGGAGTTAGTGGAATAACTCGGGAGATTCATTCCACCCTTTCCCCTGGGCTGGGGAAGACTTTACCAGTAGGGGGATGCGGGTGGAGGGCGGGCAGGAGGTAACAATGGGCCTTGTTCCAACAGGCCAGGCTCTACAACAGTGCCTTACATTGAAGTGTACCTGGGCCGGGCCGGGGCCAGCCCCCTCCCACAGGGCCACCAGGTGTCCCGGTCGGTCATCAGCATCCGCCTGCCCCGGCACCTGGGACTTCGGCCCCCTCTGGCCCTCCTAGAGCTGAGCTCCCGGGTGGAGCCCTCCCCTTCAGCCTTGTCTATCTGCCTTCACACAGGGGGTGTCCCCCTGGGAAGCAGCTGCTGGGTGCTGGGCTGGAAGGACCCCCAGGACCGAGGTGAGAGCCCTGGGTCCCGGGGGTGAGAAGTGACTAGAGGCCAGCATCCCTGGGACAACCTTCTTTCCTCTCTAGTCCCTGTGGCTGCTGCTGTCTCCATCTTGACACCACGACTCTGTCACTGCCTCCATGAGGGTATTCTGCCCCCCGGGACTCTCTGTGTCCTGTATGCAGAGGGGCAGGAAGACAGGTGTGAGGTACAGGGGCCTGGGTGTCCTGGTCCAGGGAGGGGTCAGGCAGGGCTGGGCAGCTAGACCCTGGGGAGAGAGCAGGGTTAAAATTCTTGGGAGCTGGGCCTGAAATGGGTAGAAGTAGTGTCTCCTGGTTGGACCTTGGAGAGCGACCAGGGCTCTGGATGCCTAAGGATGGAGACAAGCAGAACTTTGGGCTGGGCCCTAGGAGAAGGTGCAGGGGACCGGGAGGAAGGGTAAGAGACCCTTTGGGCCTTGGCTTTTACTCCGCAGGTGACCTCCGCACCTCCGCTCGTGTGCCAGAGTGAGGAAGGCTCCTGGGTCCTTGTGGGCATGGCTGTTAGAGGGAGCCGGGAGCTGTTTGCCACCATTGGCCCTGAAGAGGCCTGGATCTCCCAGATAGTGGGAGAGGCTCATTTCTTGCCCCCCAGTGGCTCCCCCTACTGGCCCCCTGAAGGCGGCTACCTCTGTCCTATGGACATGGCTGGGGCCTCAGGCTCCCCTCCTGCTGCTCTGTTCCTGCTGCTACTACTGACCCCCCTGATTCAGGGCTGAGGGGTCTGGCTCCCCGGACCACCTCCTCCCCTCCTTCCTCACCCCCTCCAGCCCTCTACTTCCTTCCCAGTGGGGTTGGAATGTGACTTAACCGGCTTCAGTCCCTTTGCCAGAACCTCCAGAGCTCCCCACCCACCTAGACTGCAATGGCTTCAGATAATTGGGCCTCAGTGCCGGGATATTTTGTGCCCTGGAATCCTTGGGGACGGCTCATGCCGGCAATAAAGGTGTAAACAAAGACACGTGGCCCTGTGGCATTGCTGAGGGCAGGTGGGGGGCTAGAGGGAAGCCAAAGGGCCCCTCCCTCTTGAGCTTCCGTGAGTCAGGCCTTGGGCTCCCAGGAAATGTGTCCCTGATAACGTGGCAGCTGTCCCTCATTCCTGCCCCAGGGTGGGGGAGGTTGGGCGGCCAGCTGGGTGTGTGTCACCTCCCCAAAGGAATCAGCATCCCCAACACCTGCTGGACACCTCAGCCCTAGCTCTGACCCTGCTGCCCCTCCCCCAGAGTAAGCAGGACTCAGGGTGGGGGTCACAGAAGGAAGGGTCCAGGAGTCTGGGAGTCCAGGGTCTGTCTACAGTATCCTATACCCACAGAGAGCCACCTCCATCTACACACCCTGATGAATGATGTCCCCAAGTAGACACCTCCAGTGTCCCCAGGACCCCCATACCCTTCAAGGGTCCACAGCTGTCACATCCGGCCCAGCGCTCTCCGGGTTTGAGGCCCATCACCATCCTTGTATATACATCCCTCCACCTCACCCACCACTGCTTGGTTCACCTCCCTGCATTAATGCAGGCACGTTCCCTGCTAACTGCTAAGTCATGGCACAGCTAGGGTCTGAGGGATCAGCCCTCGAAGTGCTCCCTATATAGTGGGGACACACATGGACACCCCCGGCTGGGGGTCAGGAAAGGGCCATAGAGGTGACGTTTGAGCACAGAAAAAAAGCAAATGGGGACCTCGGGAAGGGATGTGCTTGTGGTGGAAGCCAGATGATGAAGGCAGCAGAGGGGTCACCTCTGGGGCTGGAGTCAAATCTCGTTGAGTAGGTAGAGGATGGGGGAGGGGACACCTAAAGGGCAGCTGGAAGTTCTCCTTGGGGATCTGAGGAGACGGGCAGAGGTCAAAGGCCAGGCTTATCTTTAGCTGCCAGGTCCCAAATAGAATATTCCCTTGAATCTCCATAGGGACGTACATCCCCACTTGCTCCCCATACTCATTCAGTCATCCATATGCCATTCCCCACAAACATTTTTAAAAATATTTTTTTATTGATTTCAGAGAAGAAGGGAGAGGGAGATAGAAATATCAATGATGAGAGAGAATCATTGATGAGCTGCCTCCTGCACGCCCCACACTGAGGATTGAGCCCACAACCCAGGCATGTGCCCTTGACCGGAAACAAACCTAGGACCCTTCAGTCCGCAGAGTGACGCTCTATCCACTGAGCCAGACCAGCTAGAGATCCCCACAAACATTTAATATACCCCATTTAATATCTACCCAAATACACCCACAATGCCTAGTGCAGCCATGGGCAAACTATGGCCCACTGGCCGGATCCGGCCCGTTTAAAATGAATAAAACTAAAAAAAAAAAAGACCGTACCCTTTTATGTAATGATGTTTACTTTGAATTTATATTAGTTCACACAAACACTCCATCCATGCTTTTGTTCCGGCCCTCCGGTCCAGTTTAAGAACCCATTGTGGCCCTCGAGTCAAAAAGTTTGCCCACCCCTGGTAGTGTCTTGCCCCTCCCCAGCTTAGACCCTTCAGTCAGCCTAGGTCCTCTCATCACTCCAGGAATTCCCTGCCCTCAAGGGCCTGAAGTCTGGGCTTACAGGTCCAGACACCTAGCCTATGGAAGGCAGGTGGGGAAGTGGGACCCTGTTTCTCTGAACTTTGAAGCCAATACGCATTTGCAATCGCCCAGACTCATACACTCACAGAGGAAGTGCCCACCCCCTGACCAGTCACCTGACCAGTCACGGGGTCTTTGCCTGAGCCTGTGCCTCCTGCGCCCTCCGCCTGAGCCACTCCTCCCCACCTTTGCCTTGTGAACTCTTCCGTAACCTCTTTAGGTCTCAGTTCTGAAGGCACTTCCTTGAGGAGCCCTTCTTGATGCCAGCCTAGGTCAAGCTCCTGGAAACGGCTCCCCGATCCCCCATTCTCCCTTCTGTGCCACGGTTGCTAGTTTGAAATTATTCTATAATTGCTTGTGATGATTTGTGTCCTCTGTCATCCCTACTTCAGAGTGAGTTCAGGGAAGGCAGGGATGGTGTCTGTTTTGTCTCCTGTGCCTGGAACAGAGTAGGCACTCAGTAAATATTTGTGAGATGATTGGCACTGCCAGACACGCTCACCACACACCGATGAGGCTGCCGGCTCGGCAGAAGGGCCTGGACCGGCCCTAGCCTGTGGCAAACCCAGGTTCTTAGGCTCAGAGACGGGGCCGAAGAAGGGAAGGGGGTAGGAGCGCCTCTGGCCCCAGGACAACAAGGCTGAGCCAAGCCCTGGGAGGCATAACTGGTTCGGGAGACCTGAAAGACCTGGGCCAACAGCACTGTGGCCCTCCAGGGAGCTGGGCCATTGGACATTCCAGTTTCCACCCTGCCTGGGGCTGCTCTCCGGGGGATCCGCCGCCCCCAAGCGCGCACGCTTTCGCGCAGGCACACACTCACCTGGGGGTCTGGGCGATAGGGACGTCAGCGGCGGGAAGCCGGCAGGGCCGAGCAGGGAGGGCGGGGCCAGGGGAGGGGCGGGCAGGTAGCGCTTTTCTCCCAGGAGCTGCCACCTGCGGCTTTCTGC